TCCTAAAATTGCAAAAAGTGCTGCAGTGAACATCGCTGGGGATATCTTTTTGTTCTTATGTGAGAATGTTTCTCTAGAATTGATATGTAAGGATGGAATCACTAGCTTCCAGGATATACGCTTTCTAAATTTTAAATAGGTATGATAAATTGTCCTCCCAAATGGCTGTTCCACATACAGTAGTGTAGGAAATACCCATTTTTCCAAACCTAGCTAATGCATTTTAACCTTAACCAGTCTGGATGGAATGGCATCTCATGGTTTTGAGTTTATATCGTATTTTTATACTGTTTGTACAAACTTTTAAAGGAGTATTGTCCTGTTCTTCACTCTTACTTTTCCCCACGTGAAGTATTTGCAATGATCAGAGCCATTATCAGTTTAACCTGCACTTCAGAGGACTTTGGGACTTGCCATAGATATCCTCAAGTGAAGACTTTTTTAGTAATGCAAATCACTAAATATATGCTGTTACTCTGTAAACTACAGAAAATTGGCATGGTATTGATGATCAAGGTTTGGGCATAGTTCATCTACAACTTTATAGTTTACTGAGTAATACAGGGTAAATTACTAAATCTTGCTGAACCTCTGTCTCTTTCATAAAATGTAGAATAAAATGTAAATCTCTCTTGACTTTTCCAGAGATTAATTCAAAACACAGAGTATCAGTAAATGTGAATTCTCCTTTTCTAGCAAGGCTTGATTAAAAAAAGACAAAACTTAAGCTTCTGCACACCTTCTTAGAGCAAATGGTTCTTCTTTAGACTTTTTCCAGCATTTAGTGAAAAGAACAAGAACATTGGTACTAAGCACAAGACAGCTGTAGGAATGGTCAGCACAGGGTTATGAGGGAAGACTAAGTGATTGAAAGGGTTTGTCTTAGATCATGAAGTTTGAAGGGAATTATCAACAAAATAAGGCTAAATGGCCCTTAAACATTTATGGGCTTGGTTGCTTGCTACAAATTGAATAATGGTCTCCTTTGTATAACTACTAGTGTAGGTGGGAAAACTATATTTAGAATGCTTTGAAATGACTCTCCCAATTCTAGAAATGCCATACACTGTGCAGGTGATGTTAAATCAATTTTGCCTTTCAATGTCTAGCAACTTGTTTTGCTTTAATGAAAAAAGGAAGATAACACAAATTTTTTTCAGAATTAATACTAGAATCGACTTACTTAATTTTAGAATCAACATTAACTGTTGACCAAATTGCCTTAATTTTCAGAGTGAAGTGGAGAGAAACCAGACATCATAATCCTTTCTGTAGATTAGAAAGGTTGGATTTTCTAACAAGGATGGTGTTTTGTGAACCTCTGATAGGTTTGTTAAGAAAAAAACCTATTCAGTGTTAGGAAAGAAGTAATCATCAAATATGACTGAATGCCCAGTATACACTAGGCCTATGTTAAATGTTGCAGAAGCTACAAAGTAAGCCTTTTGAATCTTGAGGCAACACTAAAGAATTAATGGGACTGGACAATAAGACTCTTTCTTTCCTTTTTTTTTTTTTTTTTTTTTTTTTTTTGGTGAGTTACTTCACAATGGAGTCTTCCAAAGGATTCAACTTAATTTTCATTGATTCAGCTCTTTGTTTAACATTGACATATTTGTAATAATAACTTCACTTAATTCACATGGTATAAAAGTTACCTTTTAATAAAGTGTACGATTCATGGCTTTTAATATATCCACTGGTAACCACTACCACTTTCTAATTCCAGGATTAGAAAAAACATCACTCCCAGAAAAAACTCTGTATCCATTATCAGATTCCTCATTTCACCCATTCCTTCCTGCCCCTAGCCCCCAGCAGCCACTAATTTATTTTCTGACCCTGTAGATTTGCCTGTTTGGACACCTTTCATTTACCATAACGTTTTTCAGTCTCCATTTTGCAGCATGTATCAGCACTTTGTTCCTTTTTATTACTGAATAAAATTACTGTCACATTTTTTATCTACTTATCAGTTGATGGACATTTGAGTTTCTACTTTTTGACTAATCAGCCCTTTGCCCCCTATTTTTTATTTTTTTTAATTGATAGAATGTAATTTTTGAAACAGATTTACAGAAAATGAACAGATAGTACAAGAGTTTGTATATGCACCTTTTACACTGCCCTCCCCTCCCAGTTAACATCCTATAAAAGTGTGGTACATGTGTTATAATTAGTGATATCTTAACTAAATAATAACCAATAATAACTTAAATAAATAAGCAATTAGTGATATCTTAACTAAAGTCTATAGTTTATTCAGATATTCTTTTTTACCTAATGTCCTTTTTCTGTTTCAGGATCCCATCCCATTACAGTCAGTCATGTCTCCATAGACTCCTCTTGGCTGTGGTGGTTTCTTAGACTTCCCTTGTTTGGGTAACTTAGTTTTGAGGAGTACTGTTGAGGCACATAATTCGCCTTATGTTTTTCTCTTGATTGGGTGTGTTTTGGGGAGGAAGATCACTGAGTGCCTTTTTCATCACATCATATCAAGGGTATATACTATAAATCATAACATGATTTGTGACTTTTGATGTTGACATTGATTACCTGGCTGAAGTGTTCGTCAGGTTTTCCGCGGTAATGTTACTGTTCTCCCCCCAACCTCCATAGTGTACTCTTTGGAAGGAAGTCACTACATGCTGCCCACAGTAAAGGAGTGAGGAGTTATGCCCTATCTACCTTCTGCAAGGGAGATTTTCCTTTTTCTTCCCATTTATTAACTTACTCATTTGTTATCAGTATGGATACGTGGATACTTATTTTATACTTGGGGCTAAAATTTTTTATTATAGCTATTAGGATTAATAGCTCCAGTACTTACTTGCTGCTCAAATAGTCTCAGCTTTGGCCACTGGGGGCCCTTTGAGTAGTCTCCTGTGCCACCTTTGACATAATTCCATCAATAGGGGTTGTTTTGTTTAGGGAGCCCATACTTTTCTCCTTTCATTTGTAAATAACTGAAATCACCATAGAAGTTGACTACTGCAAAACTAACAATACTCCCTTTCCCAGGTAATTGGATTCCTATGATGTGGAGAGAAGAAATGTGCCTTACCTGCAGGGGGTTAAAGGGGGAGGCATCTGTGAATCTAAGATTGAATAAGACACCTGTCCCTGCCGTCCTGAAGTTTAATTTAGTAGATCACACAAGTAGTAATTAGTAAATTTGGGATTCAAACACAAATCTGTTAAGACTCAAACCCTTCTGTTGTTTGTCCTACTTTAAGCTATGTAATAACTGAGAAGGCTTAGAGAATAAAAACCTCAGGAGTAGAGGTTAAGACTTATAATACTTGCAAAGAAGTTGTTTTCAAAATTTTACCCTGTAGGGTCTAGCTACTTTAAGCTACTTTTTGTTGTATTTTGCCTTTTAGCGGGCTTCTGACTTCTCCCTGGAAATTCATTGCATTTTACAAACACTAATGGAGGATTTACTATGTGGCAATCAATGGTATAATACAGTATTTTTTATGCTGCATTTTTAGTAGATGCCACCTCAAATTCTTTTCACTAGTAGGTGGATATTAAATCATGAGTATATACTATTGCTCAGTATTTTACGGAGATCCCACTTATATAATAACATTCCTATTTATGTAATATGTAAGTTATATTCCACTGTACTACTACTTTAGTTTCTGAGCTGATTTAAATGAAGCCAATAGAAAAATCTTGTTACTTCCAAGGGTGTCAAGTGAGTTAAACTGAGCTTTTCTGTCATGTCATTCTCTTCCAGTGTTAAGTGGCAAAACAGGCACTGAAACTGCATCTCCTCCTTAGCCTCATTTAAGTTTCAAGTGTAGTATTCATTATTATAGCAGTCATACTTAATGTTGGCTGTTTTTAAAAGGGAAGGAAGGAAGGAAGGAAGGAAGGAAGGAAGGAAGGAAGGAAGGAAGGAAGGAAGGAAGGAAGGAAGAGAAAAAGGGAGAAAGGGTCAGAGGTGAGACTGGTCTATTGCGTGCATCTGTTATATTTGTGGGACCATTTTTGTGAAAACAGTTTTCACACTAGGTCTGTACTGGTTAGTATGCGGCAAAATCAGCTCAGTTGGTAACAGCCATTTAAAATAGAATAAAAAATGCCAGTGATTACTTGTTTTATGAAACCCGTTTTAGTTATGTAAGTCTGTATATATGCAAGATCATAGTATAAAATGCATTTCATATGTTGTTAAATGATCAAATAAATTCGAGGATCACTGATATAAGGGAATTTCTCTCTAGCCCTCCTGCTTTCTCTCCAATCTGAATTTCAACAACCTAATGCCAAGGTATTTCAGACTTCTTTTTTTAAACTTGAGCCAGGGAGAACATTTTGAGGAGCTGACATGTGAGGCAGCAGAGACAGTTCGACACCTTCACTTGGGAATATAGTTAGAACATTAAAGATATTTCAGCTCATCATTCTGGATGAGGGCAGAATCCAACAAACATGGGTGCTTGGCCACCTATTAAACACAAAAACAAGTTTTGTTACACATCCTTTTACAGTCAGACACCAAGCATATTTCATTGCCCTCCCCCCCCCATTTCTAACTTCCAGGAGAGAGGCCTGAATATTGAGGAGGCTGTGGATTTCCTATTTTCCTACCTCTTTTTTTTAAAGCTGAGCGTTAACAGAGCATCTTCCTTGGTGGCTGGTGTAAGGAGAAGGGGCTTAAGGCTCTTGCCCTGTCGGGTAATGTGCAGAGGACCCTCATCATTGGACTGCGTCGGGAGGAAGTGGGAGCGCTCCGAGGTACTCTCCAAGAAGGGGTATAAAGAGGGGAGGGAGTCCACAACACAGGGACTCCAAGAAGCTTTAGTAAAAGGCAAGTGCATCTTTGCCGGCCGGTGTTGGAAAAGGAGGAGATACCAGTAGAAGGAAAGAACACCACTTAAAAGGGTAACCACAAGCGTTTGAGCTTTTTGTACCGCTTTTAGCCCAGACTTCCAGCCCAGCCCACCCCCAGCCAGGTGAGCGGTCGCCACTTCCCCTGTGTGTGCAGGACCACTTCCTCCATGAACTTGCCCAGAGATGAACGCCTTCGCTCCACACCGCCGCGCAGGCTCCGGAGCTCCGACCGGGAAGACGGTGAGATCGATGTCCTGGGAGAAGAGGAAGATGGAGACGAGGAAGAGGAAGACGAGGACGCTGAGGCGAGCCAGCGGTTCCTAGAGCAGCTGCACCAGCCGGGGCCTCAGCAGGCGCGGCCGGGCGCCGGCGCGATTTCCCGAGAGTGCACCGAGGGCGGCGGAGGCACCAAGTTCCGGGCGTCGACCTGCTCTGTGGCGGCCTCTGGGGACGCCCCGCAGCCGGCGAAGCCCCCCTACTCGTACATCGCGCTCATCACCATGGCCATCCTGCAGAGCCCGCACAAGCGTCTCACGCTCAGCGGCATATGCGCCTTCATCAGCGGCCGCTTCCCCTACTACCGCCGCAAGTTCCCGGCCTGGCAGAACAGCATCCGCCACAACCTGTCGCTCAATGACTGCTTCGTCAAGATCCCTCGCGAGCCGGGCCACCCGGGAAAGGGCAACTACTGGAGCTTGGACCCCGCATCCCAGGACATGTTCGACAACGGCAGCTTCCTCCGGCGCCGGAAGCGCTTCAAGCGCCTCCACCCGCCCCCGGGAGCCCACCTGCACCACCCCTTCCCTCTGCCTGCTGCGCCCGCCGCCCTGCACGGCCCCTATCCGGGACTGCTGCTCGGGTCCCCGGCCCCGCCGCAGCCTGTCCCAGGGGCCTACCCAGCTGCCGCCCCCGGGGGCCGCCCGTGCGCGCTGTTTCACCCTCATCCCCCTCGCTACCTGCTGTTATCCGCCCCGGCCTATGCTGAGGCCCCGAGGAAAGCGCAAGACTCAGACATGGCCACTCCCGGCGCTTTCCAGGCACTGCAGCCCTCGCAGGGTCCGCAACCTTGGGAGGAGGGCAAGGGGCTGGCGTTGCGGCCGGGGGGCGGATGCACCTCCTTCAGCATTGAAAATATCATGCGAAGTGTCCGAGGAAGGGCTACGGGCGCCGCACAGTTTCAGCCCTCGACCTCGTGGGGCTACTGCCACCTGCTGCAGCGCCCGTCGTGCCTGTTGCATCCCCAGGCCGCTTGCCCCTTGCTGCAGGCGTCCGCCGCCGCCGCCGCCCGGACGATTTTGCAGCAGCCGCAAGAGCAGCAAGGGGACTCGGCCAGCAGCTGCGCTCCCAATAAGGGCGCACAGCTCGGGAGGCGCCTCTCGGTCGCCCAGATGCTGGGGAGTCAGCCGGGGGCAGAGAGCTCCAGGCTGACGTCGATGGTCGCCCTTTTGGGCACAGAAGATAGCTCGCCCGTCTTTTGAGTAGGACTCACACCCTGCTCTGTAGCTGCCTCCGCGGGGCGCACCGCGAGCCAAGCTGGAGGGCAGAGCAACTCCAGGTCCCGCTCTCCACGCGGTCTGCCCTTGCGCACACCACTCTGCTCTGCCAGGACTAGGTGTGTACATCTGAATTCTGCATAAGTGCATATTTCAGTTCGCCGCAAAATATTTACGAAGGAAAAATTGGATTCTGTTCCCTTAAGACAACTTAAACGGAAACTTCCTATGTCGTCAAGCCTGACCTTTTCTTTTCCAGCCTTCACTTGTGTTTTCTAGGGCTTTTCCGATTTGCACATTTCCAGAGGAACTATGAACGTGAGTGGGGCGTTTTGTTCTGGTATTTAAAGAAAAACAAAGAAAACACAATGGCCAATGCACAACATGTTTCCTTTTCTTCACTCCTGAGGAACTGCGAATGTTATTCCCAAGTGCAAGCTCTCTAAGTCTTTCTGAAATCGTGTAATATAAATAGAACTTTAATTTCAGAGCATTTATTTCTAATTTGTGTGTCTGGTGTGTCATCTTTTGTGGAGAGATGTTAAAAGTAAACCTAGCTATACAGACTAAATAAAATGCTAAATCACTACACTACATCGTCTGTTATATTACTTCCCTTTATTTGCTTTCTAAATGGAACTCATTCTAAAACTGTTCTTTTCTGCCAATTAAATTTAGTTTTACAATTCATATTCATTATAGATATCAGAAACAATCCATTTTCAAAACCGCTCTTAAAATTCCTGTGTATTTGAAGTTGAAAAAGCCCTGGCTTTTAAAATGGGATTTAATATTTGTGAAATCTGTAGAAGAAAAAGAATTGAAGGACATGTAACTACTTCATTTGTTTTTCATCTTTCTAAAGATGTTTTTTCCCCCTGAATAAACTGGAGGATGATTTGAGATCAGTTTGGAATGTAGTGGTGAATGCTTATTAGGGAAAAATAAAAGGCCATTAAAAAACTAGAAATTTTCAAAACCAGGGCTCAGAGAACTAGGAAATACAAAATAAAGCATTCGTGTCTTGGACATTTACAATTAAAAAAACTCTCTCTCCAGGCAGATGGCTTCTGCAGGCTCCTAACCCATTTCTTTAGAACAGAAAGAACTTTTTTTGCTTTTTTGTTTCGAAAAGAATTAATATCTTAAACGACTTTGCAGTCAGAAAGGTTTCACTGTTACTCGGCTTCAGGTGATTGGGTGGGAGGGAAACAGGACGAAGAAGCTTGTGCCCAAGATTCCCCAGGGAAAGCAAGTTTCTAGAGACTCGGCGCTTTCCCAGTCCTGAGCAGGATTGAAAGTTCCGAACTGCATTCCATGTCGCTTTGAAAGAAGTCACTCCGTGTGAGGTCTTTCCTCTTCATTTACTCCCCAGCTCCAGATTTTCTCATTAGAGTGAGGGAAGACACAGAACACATTCTTACAGCCGTTTACTGGTCCTTTTTACGCCAGCTTCTCAGCCTGTTACCCGAACTTCCTCCTGTCTGTGATCCCCACCTCCTCCCGGCTTGCAGTAGTAAGGTTCCCGGGACGTTCTGGAAAGTTCTCAAGCCCAGTGGGAGCCGCCAGGACATGAGTTTAAAATGCTAACCTTCGCCCTGCACTTGCAGCCCTCGCTCACAGAGCAAGGACCACCAGGTGTTCCCTCCATTGGCCCCTATCCTCAGGTGCAGGCGATCCCAATACCCACCCTCTTCCCTTAATCCAACTCTCCCTCCTTCGGTTTTGCCCAGTTTTGAACTCAGTGTGCCTCACCCTCAGCACCCTGGCTGTCAGGTCCTGTTAGCAAATTCTATAGGACCGGGCAACCTAAGAGGTTGGCAACAAGCCGAGAATAAAGGGAGCCTATTACTTGCCAAGAACTCTCCGGTTCACATTCCAAATGCCCCTAGCCTTTGGTGCGAAAACGTCTCTAGGCCTATACATTCATTTACTCGGTCAGCTAAGTCGTCGGAGTGACGGGTACAGCCGCCCAGAACCGAGACATTGGAGGTTTTTCTGGCGCGCCTTGTACCGCGCAGGAGTCGCCCAACTTTCTTCCTTCCCTTCGCCCCAGGCCAAATCAGCACAGCCACGAACGTGGGCGAACGAGGGTCAGAAGCCGACCCTCAAGCTCCAAAGTTCCAAATTTTTACATAATGAAACCTTATGGAAAATGAATTTAAAACAAACGTCGACCCGGTGTAAGAAATAAAACGTTCTCCAATCGAACCTGGAGCTTTGCACTTGACCCGACGCTCCGCGACCGCGTGGAGAAGTCGCGCCCTCGGGGGGGGGGGGGCTCCGCAGGGTGCCCCGCGTGGCGCGTGGAGCCGAACGGTGCCTGGGGGCTGCTGCTACTGGGAGGCCACCAATAACAGCGAGCACCGGCCAAGCCCTCATTGCTGGCCCGGCGGGCGCGTTCCCGGCGCTGTGGCGTCGGGAGGGTGCAGTCGGCGCGGTGTCCCGGCCCCGCCCCGTTCAGGGCCGCGCCAAGAGCCCGCAACTCTGGATTGCAGGCCGCATCCCCGCGTTCCTGGACTTCATTTCGCCCCGCGGCCTTGGGCAAGGACGCAGGCCCATTTTAAACCTCAGGGCTGAAGGCTTCCTACTTGAGCGAAGGGATAGAGGGTCGGGCTCGTCTTCTCGACTCTAGGCTGACAGAATGCGACCAGAGCTGCCGGGGGAGCGCGGCCTAGGGCTGAAGCGGAGTACAAAGGGGCTGGGAGGCGGGAAGCTGGGGAACGGCGTCTCCGACGTGTCCTACAGGCTGGTAACAGCACTAATCGTAGCCCTAGCTGCGGCTAACCGTTACGCCCGGCTGCCTGTGTGCCGGGCACTGGATTCCCCTTTAACCCCCCCAGCACCCAGTGAAGAAAATACTTTGGAATCCCCGTGACCCAGAGAAGAAATTTGCGATTCAAACAAATTAAGGAACTCGCCGGAGGATCCTCAGACGATGCATCAGACGCTTATTCGTTTTCTGAACCACTATCCCCACGGGCGCCCGTGGCCGCCTACGGGGACCGCGCACATCCCGCGTCCCTGCCGCTGCCCGCGGCCCGGAAGCCCTCCTCTCCCCAAAACCCGGATGCCCCGAGGGCGTCGCGCCGTCCGTTCCCCAGCTCCGCCCCGCAGGCGCCGCGTCTCCCAGGTGAGCAGGTCACGGCCTGGCCGGCGCGTGACCAGAAGATTCCACCTAACCCAAGCTTGCCAGTGAGGAGTCAGAGAGCCTCGACATTGCGTTCTTTCTCCCCAACATCATTTTCGTTCTCTTTCCCCTCTTGGTCCTCAAGAACCCGGGCTCCCCGTCCACCGTCAGGCCCGGGGCCGCCGCTTCCCCTCGGTGGTGGTGGTAGGCAAGTCGCTGCCCCGCCAGGCCGCCCTTCCTCTCCCAAATGGTGGTGACCCTGCGCTCCACTGCGCGCCCGCGCCAGCCACTGAATCTTGACAGTGTGAAAGGGTCGTGATGCGCCTAGGGAGTTGGGCGGGCTGCCCTGGGCTGGGGAGAGGAGAAGGAGGGGTGGGGGGCGCTGGGCTGGGGAGGGACCAGCCCTCAGTTCACCGGCAGTTACCCGGTCCCGGCCCACCGGAGTAGGGGTGGAGGTGGGCTCCTACAGGGAAGGAGAGGGCGCCCGAGGGGCGAGGGTGGACTGGAATCCCCTGCGGTGGCCACGGTTGTGAGTCTAGGTGCCTCTCAGAGACCAGCAGGCCCCGCGCAGGTGTGCCCTGGCACCGCTGTAGCTTTATACGCGCCCCCTCCTGCATACATTGGGCATCCAAATGTTTAGTATTTGCTTATTTAGGAGAATGTAGCTAATGAATCGGGAACCTCATCTCCTGTCTGCCTAAACGAGACTCCCCTGTTCCTTTCATTTTGACTTAGAAGCAATAACAGACGGTAGAAAAAACTAGAGAAAAGGTAGAAACGACGAGAAAAAAAATGGAATCGAAACAGTAATGTGAACACGGCTGGGAGCGAGATAAAGCAAATTTCGTCTTCTGAGATTTTGCACCGGGCCGTTACCACATTTTACTGATAGCGGGAGTGGGGGTGTTCAGAGCTCTCACTCCCCCCAGCATTTAAGAAGAAAGTTCAGAAGTATCTCCCCACTTTAACATCTGATTCCAGTCTAAATTGTAATCTTATTTTAATTGCTAAAGCCACCTTCATGTAATTTCTACAAAAATAGGTGTCTTAGTGGCTGTTTTTTCATATCAGCCCTGAAATTATTTAAATAAATTTAAGAATTCATTGATTCTATATACACTACTAGGTGTATAGCTAATAATACCTAAATTTGCCATGCCCTCTCCCGCAGAAATTAGGTGTAGGAAAATAAAAAAGATTTCAGAATTAATTCTAAAATTCAGTTCAATTCCTACCTTCGTGTAATAAGGTTTATCTGTAAAGATGAAACCTTATAAAGGAAATATCTGGATATAAACTTCATTTTCTTATTCTTGGAATATAGGAGTATGTTTATTGAAATGGGTAATTAAGAATATTTTGGGATAGTTATGATTACTCAGCTAGTGAAGCAGTTTCTATCATAAATCCTGTCAGAACAATGAGATTAAATTAAGCATGAGTAAGTTCCTTAAGATTATTTTAGATAACTAATTTTTGCTATGTATTTAAAGCCATATTTATAACTAATAGTTCTTAAAATTAAGGTGAGTTGTGTTATCCAAGGCATCTGTTGTAAAAGAGATATTGTACTATATTTCAAACAGCTTTATTTTTTCCCTTAAATTTTGTCTTTTTAAAAATATATAATGGAAATTTCCAAACATATATAAAGGTAGAGAGATTAGTATAATTAATCTTAGTGTTATTTTTAACCAAATTTCAGATATCCTATCATTTCATCTATAAGTATTTTGAACATTTCTGTAAAAGGTAAGAATTCCATCAGTGTAACCACAATACCATTATCACACCTAAGTAATTTATTAATATCATCAGTTTATCTAGGTGATACTGAAATATCCTCAATTTTCTGAAAACTTTTTGTTTGGTTGTCTGAATTAGAATGCAAATAAGAGATAGATGTTATTTTTGATATGGTCTCTTATGCCTTATTTAGGTTTCTTCAGTCCTTTTATTATTATTACATTTTTGATATAGCAGAAACTGGACTGTTTGTCTTGAAGAATTTGACATTATGTATCTTATGGTTACAGGCAGTATTTTTATGGTAACATATTCCCAACAGTAGTTATTTAGGCTTTTGAATATTAACAAATAATATTGTTTCTAGAGGGGCAGGAAAGTAATTGGATATCTTGAAGAGTCAATTGTTGAGAAAATTAATTTTTATTAGCATGGGAAAGCTTATGTGAAATCTCCCTAAAGATAAATATAACATTTTCTTACAACTTTAAAAAAGATGTTATTTTCCATGGAGTAGATTTCCAATGTTTACTAAAACTATTTAAATACCTACCATAGGGATACAGCTTTTATTTGTTAAAATAAAACCTAGACTAATGTTTTCTCAGGCACTGGGTCAGTTTCCAAAGATAGATAGCAATTGAGGAATTGGGTCTCTGGATGAAATGTGTGTGGGTTTACTTTCCACTTCTGCTTCTTATGGTTCTGTAATCTTTAGCGAGAAACTTAACCTCTCATGCCTCAGTTTCCCCATCTGTACAATAGTAAAAATTACAGATTTCA